AATATTAATAATTAAAATCATGAATGAAGAAGAATATAATAATATAATAACTTACCTAAAAGATTCAACAACAATAGTGAAATTATCGCTTGATCAACAAAGAAACATTAAAAGAAAAATTAAAAATTTTATAATAATTGAAAATAATCAACAACCGAAAAGAGTAATAAAACAAAATGAAAAAGAGATTATCCTTTATAACTTACACGATGACGCTACCGCTGGACATTTAGGACAAAATATTATCATAACGAAAGTTAAGGAAAGATATTATTGGCCTAATCTAACAAAAGACATTAAAGAATATATTCGATCTTGTGAAATTTGTCAACAAAGAGGACGACCAAAGGTAAATGAAAGATTAAACCCAATTAGGGTAGGAAAACCATTTGATCGTATCAGAATCAATATTGTAGGACCACTTCCAGTCACCTCAAATCGAAATCAATTTATAGTAGTTGCTATGGACTACTTGACGAAATGGCCGGAAGCAAGAGCCATTCGAAAAGCTAATGCTGCCAACGTTGAAGCATTTATTAAAGAAGATATAATAGCCTGACATGGATGCCCTTTAAAAATTTTATCAGATCAAGGAACACACTTTGTAAATGAGACAATTAGTCAAATATGCGAAAGAATGAAAATCAAACGAACATTATCCTCACCATATCATCCTCAGACCAACGGATTGGTGGAACGATTCAATCGAACATTGTGTGAATCTTTGGCAAAATTATCCATACAATCTAGAACTCATTGGGACGAACATATACCAGCTGTATTACTCGCATATCGAATGTCTCGACAAGACACTACTCGATATTCACCTTTTGAATTAACTTATGGAAGAAAGGCAATATTACCCATCGATTTAGAAATTCCAATAGAAATTGAGATAAATGATGATTATCAACAAATGATGAAGAAAAGAATGTTTGACGTTATCTTTTTGTTGAACGAAAAATGATTGGAAGCAAAATCGAATATAGAAAAAGCCCAACACAAACAAAAAGAACGCCATGACACAAATCTTCTACAACAGGAATTCAATATTGACGATCTCATACTCATGTACAGGAGTAAAGCGGACAAGTAATGGAGCGGAAAACTTGATCCAAAGTGGGATGGACCATACAGAATCCACCAAAAACTCAATAATGATGCTTATCAACTTATTGACGAAAACGGAATACATACCAAATATGTACATGGGAATAGACTCAAATATTACAAAGATAGAAACACAGAAGAAACTGAATTCGTGGACGAATCATCTAACGAAGAAGGGGAAGAACCTACAGAAAAAGAACCAATCATAATAATTAAAGCTCCAAACAGACAAATTTTGTCGCAATACAAGAAACAAAAAAAGAAAGATTAATAAAGTACCGTACAAATTTTGCCACAAAAATTATTTGTGCGACAAAATCAACAAACGATCATGTGGATTTTACGATAATCGGTACTAGTAATAAATCACGTAAAATTTGATATATAAAGAATACGATTTACAAATATAATGAAACAAAAAATAAAAAGAAATGTCAGTAAACGAAACATCCAACGGAACTAATAGACTCAGCAACAGAATTCAGCAATTAGCTGAGGATCTCTCAAAAGAAATAAGGAAACACCAACCCAATATAATTATTCAAGTCGACTTCATAGGACCACAACAGATTGAAAATGGATTTTCTGACGATTTGATCATACCAATCGAATTAAATCCAAAAATTATGCAATTAGCAGAAATATTACGCCCAATTAAACAACGATCATTCAAAGAACGAGAAATTGTGGATCCTGAACAACGACTAAAAGAGTTAAAAGAACAATGGTCTCTAAGATATCGTTCAAGGGGATTTGGAGGAAGAAAACTGAGTATATTAACTCAGATAGGAGAACAATTAGAAGAAATTGAATGACGAAGAAAGATCACCAATATAGTGAAATTAGAATATGTACGGGAAACAAAAGAAAACCACATGACCGTACACTTCAACGATGTTTACAATTAACTACGTGGTTGAAAAAGAATTTTGAAGAAAGAAGTGAAGAATTGTTTAACGTACCAAAAGATACCTATTCAAAATTAGAAAAACTTTCTTCGGACGAATTATTACAACTTCAAAATTTGCTCGACGATTTCGCAGGAGCTCAATTTTAAAGGAGAAGCAAATGTTACGAATAGAACTTTTATATTATATAAAAACATTATTAATATTTAATAAATCATATAAATTACATAAAAATCAT